TTGGATGGAAAAAAAAACTAGGTTGGGTGAATTCCCTGATTGCTGTCCGCCTTCAAAAAAGAAATATTTGCTAAAATTCGGTTCCGTTCTACCGGGCTAAGGAGCGGGAATGTGAGAGGCTGTAGTAACTGGGGACAAGAGGCAGATGTGGGTAGCAGGACAGCAAGAACGGTGCTGGTTTAGGTCTCAGATGATTCCAGGGGAGTCGAAGAAAAGGGACTAGAATGTCGAATTCTTCCCCAACAGAAAAGGAATCTGCGAATGTTGCTTACTTCCATCTCGTTCTCGAAGTCGTACACGAATGGCCGTTCGCCGAAGTTGGAATCAATGATCTCGCCGAGCCTCTGCAAGCCAACCATCGGATACAGATCGGTGCACTCCACTTGATCTTTTGCGTAACCTGCAACACACAGCCCCAATTTTGGTTCGTTATCTGACCTCTCATCTTCAACAACGGCGCATCCCCACTGCCCCACTGTGTTTCGTCATCTGACCTTTCATCCTCAGTGAGAGCACAGCCTCACTCCACCCTGACCCTTAACTCCACACCCAAATTTGCACAGCAATTGCTGCAACTCCAACGAAACCTGCATTCGTTTCCCGAAATCCATGCCATCCTACTTTGCACGATGCGTGAATTTGTATTACAAATTTGATTTCAGTGTGAAGAGTGAGGTACTAAGGGGAGGGGGCCAAAGGTGTTGGCTTAGACTGTAGAACATCGTAACAATATGAAAAGAGCGGGGTGGGGGAACGGGAGAGTTGGAATACTGATTGGAAAAGAGCTGAAGTGCTGCTTGAAGGTAGAAAATGGAAGAAGCGGTAGAGTTTATGGTTATATTTATAATACTACGCAAGGAATTAGATGTTGGGTGAATATTGCTCTTAGCATCCATCTGACATACATCCAATTTCTTGCTTAGCATCATAAACCCACAATTTAAGGGACTGTGATTCAAATAATTGACGAAAAACATAAAGATGCCGCGGATAATAAAAACCAGATTGCAGCGAATGAAGCATGATTTTGCAACAGCGAAGAATTGCTGGCCCCGAGATTGCTATGGAATCATCATTTTGGAATGAACAGAAGTCGAGGTACTTTCCTTCTGTTATTGATTTCTATACGTTTCTGTGTGTTACCGGCACAATTTTGTATGTTGCCAGACTCACCGGCACAATAATGCATGCTTGCATTAAACTTGAAACAATCAGGTTGCCAACTCCATGAATGATTGCTGCTTTACATTTACTTTTTGTGCTTACTAGCGCAAATCGTCGTAAATTTTGCATAAAGGAAAATGAACAATTTTCGCGCCAAAACTCCCACTGCCCACAAGCACGTACCGCAGGCGCCTGGGGGTTGAGTTTGGAATCTTCATTTTGTACTTAAACGGGCAGAAACCCCTTAAAATCCCAACCGTCCATCTTCTCTGTTTCCGGAGTTGGCAGTTTCCCCGCCGAAGCTCTGGCAATTTTCCCGCCCAAGCTTTGGCAACTTTCCCGCCGAAGCTTTGGCAACTTTCCTCCGAAGCTTTCATTTGCTCGTACGCGGGGATAGGACGTGCGAGAAGGTTGGTGCCATGGTTCTGAGATGGGATGGCACTTGGCCAGGGAACCCACCAGCAAAATTTCGGCGCCGAAGCTTACTTGATTACCAGGGCAGATGCACACACACACGCACGCACACACATACACACAGACACACACACATACATTACACACACACACACACACAAACATATACATACACGCACACCATGAGTCATCACAAGATGCGTTTTTTGCAGCTATGCAATCAGAAAATGCATACTGATGTGGGGTTGTCTGTATGTGTGTTCGTCTGTACCAATTTTTCATCTCGAAACCTACAAAAGCTACGGGCCTGAAATTTTGGGAAATTAATCTACATGAATGTACGGACTCCCATCCCCAAAACGGATGCTCTTATCCGCGTGGTACCTACGTGCAGGCCCGCCAAAGCTTTTTATGGGTAAGCCGCTAACTCGGAAACCAGAGAAGCTGGAAAGCTGAAATTTAAAGAAGACCCGTTCACGCAGGTATCAGTGAGCTCGAAACCAGCCCCCGGGTATGCGTGGTACCCACGTACGCGTTCGCGAAAGTTTTCGGGTGAGCTGCTAGCTCGGGAACCTGAGAAGTTGGAAAGCTGAAATTTTAAGGGGGTGTTTCTTGATACTTCTGGCAGCCAGTCTTAATTTGTTTAGCTAGAAACATTTGCCGGAAAAACCGGTGCTGGTAGCGATAAAACTGCGGCGAACTATGCAAAAAACACATCTTCGCACGTGCAGCCCGTTCGCTGGCTAATTATTGAATGTGCATACACGCAAAAACGCACACCACGACAACCCACGGTGTGCGTATGCTCCTATCCAGACATTTTAACTCGGCGACCCAGCAAACTTCAATGCTGAAACTTTGCCATTAATTTTCCTGGACAAGCGCAATCCCAGGGAAGCGGTACAAGCCTTCCGGCATGTCCGATGCCCGTGTACAGGCGCGTGAAAGTTTTGGCGGGGAAATTGCTAACTCGAGGGCAGAAAAACAGGAAAGATGAAACTTTAAGGGGATGTTCCTCGAACATACAAATTAAACATTTCAAATTCATTCTCCAAATATACGTGATATTCGCGTATGGTCACATGAAAGGTTTTTCTGGGAAACTATCCACTGAACACCTAGGTCATTTTCAAACAGCAACCATCTTACCATTCTTTTTTATGAAAAATTTATGGTGATTTACGGCAATCGGTGCACAAGTCAGATGTAAAACAATAATCATTCATACAGTTAATGACCGAACTGTTTCAAGTTTAGCGCAAAAACGCATGATCGCAGCGGTAGCCCTGGTGCATTGCAGACTAAGTTCTGGACACTGATAGACGTACGTAAGTATGCCAGCATT